AAACTGTGTTCATGAGGCAAAATTGGGTAAAATCATTGCTTTAATTCCAATAATACCAAGTATATGTGATACTAAAGTAATAAAGTCAACAACAGTAACCCTGGAGAGGGTTGATGAATCTGTGGACCTAAGGAGAGGCAATGTTAAAGTCATAGATAATTTCACTGCTTAATGACGGATTCATAAAGTGAAAACATTTAGCACCATTCTTGGTAGTTTATTTTCTCCCTTCTATCTCTCTCTGGGAAATAATTTATATCAAATTGACTCTACTTGAAATGAATTGGTTGATAGCTAAAGAGACGAATTTGAGTTGAAGGATTAGTCTCTAAACAGCTGATTATGGGGTAATCAAACCACCTCAAGAGAAAGTGTATGTAATCAGAATGCTGGGGTGATTGTAGAGAGAAAATGCAGATCTGGCTGACAGGAATCCAGACACTACTCTGTGGGAGCAAACAGATGTTTTGTGTCTGCTGAATGTGTACTTCAGATTCCATAATATTCATGTTGCCATGTAGCAATACATGATTGCTGAATTTGTCTCATTCTGACTGGTATAGACGGGACTGACACTATAACTTGAGCAGTGAGCATCTGTATAATTTAGTGCAAGCTACATCCCTATAAACTGTGGCCAGAAAACTGACCACAACATCAACACTGAAAGTTTAGAAAATTTCAACATGCTTCATAGGGTGATACTGTATTTATTTCAGGATTATTGTATTACTGTAGTGGTTCCTCTTGTCTTTCTATCATTTTCTTTTTTCTTTGGTAAGACAGATCAAAGGACATGATTCATGTATGGAAAAGTTTCTAATCAATAGTTAGTTGTCAGACTAGTGCAACTACATAAACTAATGATGAAAACCATTCAGATGAAACTGCCTATTGAACCAGTTGGGCCAACCAAACCAATGTAGTTTGGCCTAAGCAGACACAATGTAGATATAAAACCTGATTAAGCAGCTGGGAACTGTATCTGCTCTTTGCTTGTGTAAAGAGTTAAAATGTAAAAGTGCTTTAGGTCAGAGAACGGTGTGGATGGCATAGCAGCTGGACCAATGAGTGGGCCGTTGGCATTCAGATCTGTGAAAAGTTGCTTGAACAACCAATGTCCAACTCTCTGTAACTCAGTAACGTCTTGTACTAATGATTAAATTTAGAGGGAGTGCGAACAGATTGTTGGCTTGAGAGAAAAATTATTGGGTCTCAGACAGGTACTGAAATATTAAGCCTGGGTTAAAAGATGGTGTCTTTAATGTCTTACTGCATTGTGAATTATCAAAATGACACAGCTTGATCCAACCAGATATTGCAATTATTCATTTTTAATTGGTTCAGACCTCACTGCATAAGTGATACTGCATTTGAACAATATGTTGATGGATGCTTAGCTTCTCCGGTGAATGCACAAGCATATTGACAAACTGTCTGATGATCGAATTGCTCTGTGTTTGGACCTGTACGTCTGGACTACATTATATTGCACATAAGAGCGTGGCCATTTGTATGTATGTAGATACACACAGTCTCTGTGCGCATTCATTACTATTGTTAGCTTTAATTTGACACATTTTGTTGCCTAAGCAACCGGTCGATGTCATCTACTTCAGTGCGGTGAATTTGAGAGACAGTAAGAGGGGACTTAGGGAGACAACAGAGAGCTATGATGGTGGAAATCAGATGAAGAGAGGAACATAGAAAGATGGTACTATATTCATTGTACAGTGATTGTTACAATGAAGCTCTACAAAATCCTACATCTACTGTTTGCTGTAGTCACACACTGTTTTAATAACTGTAAATATACAATCTCTACTAAAATAAAGATGGAAATGAAATGTGAAAATAAATCACATAATATGGGTAATTTCTCCCTCTTATGAATAACAGTGTCTTTTAATTTCTTCTACTGTAGTTAAACAAAAATTATAAGTAAGGCAAGGACATAAATCAAATGAAAACAATAATTACATCCTCTTTTGTGATGTTCAAACAAAGTTGACAGAAAAACTGCAGCACAACAAATCCAAATTATTAAGGGTTAGTGATTCAAAAGAGTTTGTTTTCCAACTTGTATTAATTTCAAATGGAGATCAAATCTGGGAATCCCTGAGTGAGAGGCATTTAAATCCTGAAAGTCATATATATAAGGTTTTGCTTAATTTTCATCGTTCAGTTACAGTCTACAAGATGCAGCACAATTTGTAACGGTGCACCAAACACAGCAGACCATATGGTACACGCTAGTGTCTGTATCACATTACATACTGTATGTGTGATTTTTTTGTCTTCTTCCTTTTTTTTTTTTGAGACCGGGATCCACCCCAAACAACCTTGAAAATCCTATTACAGTTCCTGGGTTTTCAGCAGTGGTTACCATGACAACTGTGCATTTTATTTCTGGCTCCTTTGAAATGGTGTGTGAGATCAGAGATCCCAAATGTTATGTAAGACGATGTGTGCACTGTTCCAGACTGGGGTTTCCTGCTGCAGAGAACTTAAAGTAATTAATTATAGGGGAATGGCAGACACTCAAGGCATTTCAACATCATCTCCCTGTTTACCTTACAGCTTTTTTTATCACGCACTGGGAAGACGTAGGCTGTAATTGTTATGCAGGAGGATAAGCATTATGACAGATGCTTTTAAATAAAGTTGCTCATTTTGACACATTTTGTTGAAAAGTTCTGTTTGAGATGTCTTCTTGTATCTTGATAAACAACAGGAGAACAGAATGATCAAGATCTGTGCAGACCTTTGTGCTCAGAGAGGGAGGAAAATAGAAAATAATACTAAACATTGGTAGTGGCTTGGTAGTGGTGAATTTATTTTAAACAGGGCTGGGGAATCATATTCATTTTAATGCGATTACAGGACAAACTGTTCTGTGGCATCAAGTTAGGGTTTAAATAAGTAGCTAATCACTTGTTGGGCATTTGGTTACTCAAGTATTGTCAAACATAATTTACACTTGATAATTACACAATTTCAACATAATATAATTTAGAATAAACCTGCTTGAAGCAATTTTGTTTTTCCTTCAATTTGAAAAGCTGTTTTCACATGTTCACATTTTTTAAGAATATGATATAATATTGAAGAGATAAGTTTGCTATAGTTACTGTCACAAATAAAGTATTAGTGCAAACTCTTGGACATACAAAGAGTTTATTTATTCATTAGTAGTTTCTGAGTTTCAGACAGACAGACACACAGAACTGAATCTATTGACTCACAGTATCTATCAGATATGAATTATAAAACTCCTGTGTTGCATGCAGATACGTGTCCTCAGCTTTGCAACTGTAAGTGCAGGTGTGTTATTCATGATGTGACACTCAACTCAGGATTCAATGCACAATACTGGGTTCACAATATGATTTTCTCACAATGTTTAAAAAAAAAAAAACAGAGATTAAAGACAAATTATGACAGAAAAGTCAACAATACTCAATTTTAGTGAGCGGAATGAATAGAAGGAAACTGCCTTGATGAGTGCATTTTTAACATATATTCTTTTCTATAAGCTTACTATGTACTGTACATACTGTTTCAGCATTGTATGAACACAATAAAGGAAAACTCATATGAGCCTGAGCAGCATTCACCATTAAGCGAGAAAAAAGCTGGCAGAGCAAAAAGATTTAAGAGGTTATGCTGAACTTTTTAACCCCTCATACAGAAGCTTCTAAATTCTCTCATCATAAAGTCTCTTTGAAGTAATCTAAAATTTGTTGCTCTTTGTGATCACTGCCCAGTGATGTGCACAGCTCTTCTAAAAATAATTAGGCATACAGCTAATAACAACTGGTTCATCACCGCAGGGCTTGAGAAATAATACTTTTATCGCAGATTCCAGAGGAGTTGACTCAATTTGTTGAGAAAATCAGCTCCCTACTTTCAACTGTGGGATAGGGTTATGAAGATATATACTGGATTAATTGAAGCAAACTGGAGTTTTGCTCTTTGGGGAGGCAGCCTAATGATTGTGACTGGCCTAACACAGTTAGTTGACACAGTATTTGTGGGCTCCAGGTGAGACTCCTAATGTTCTGTAGTTTTCCTGGTGTTTAGCTGCCAAAAAAAGTTGATGCTAATATTAATAGTTCATGGTTCTCTCTGTATTTTTCTCCTGTGCAGTATTCTCTTTATTCCATATAGAAATTAAACTATTCTGCAAACATTATGTAAAACAATAAAAATCAGTTTCAAGTCATTATAGCTGAAAGGAGAAAATCAGTAATCTATGACAAATTATACATTACAAGTAAATTGGCTTTCATCAACCGTCAAAACCTCCAAGCCGTTTTGAGGGCAGAACTACTTCTTTTCAGATGAGGTGAGACTTGACACATAGTGCATCATTAAGCACATAGTACAAACCCTTTGCCAGCAGAAACAGATAAAGGATTTCTACCTGACTTAAAAGAGAAATATATCTTTTGAGAAATCCTTCATACTATATTAAAAGCAGTACAGCAATTCTTAAATCACTTTTATACTGAAGATTGACCCACATTAGTGACTTCATGACTTCAATAACAACTTAAGTTAACTTTAAAGGTCTGTAATTAAGAATTGCTATTCATAGCTAGAAATCATTATACTTCCATGTGTACTGTAGTACTGTAATAACATCTCACTTGATGTGCTCTTGTATGATAGGCGCCTTAGTGAACACTGTGTTGGGAACACAACAAAGTGAGAGATTTAATATTTAAGTACATACATGCACATAAAATGTCAGTGTTTCTGAGATAAAGACATTTCTTGTCATTGAGAATGTCAGATGAATGTGAAGAGTATCCCATAGGACAATGTATCTGTCATGCTCTTGCTTGTAATTGTAAGGAGAATCACAATAGCGTTTTCAATCTATGGGGATTTGGAAACAGAATATTCTGCTCAAGGTTGTTCAGATCATTTCTCTCACCAACTCGCATGAATCTTATTTCTTTGTTTTCCTTTTTCTTTCCTTATCTCTGACACAGACCAGAAGTTTTCACCTTGGTCCCCGTCTCAAAAGTTCAATGAAGGCAGACGCCTCCCTCCAGCCAGGAACATGAAGGGCTTATCGGGCAGCCGCTCCCAGCACCAGATCCCTTTACCCTATGGCTTGGACTATGACCCCCACGTCCATGACCCCCACGCTCACCATGGCTCTGACTCCCGCCACTCGTCCTACCTGCTCAGCCCCACAGAGAGCTGCCCCATGGACTTCCACCATCGCTACTCGCCGCGCAGCTCCATCCACTCTGACTGCATGATGATGTCCCCTGTCATGATGCCCCCAGCTGCTGCTTCTGAGCACATTTCAAGCAGCACCTTCCCCAGAATGCACTACAGTTCTCAGTATTATGACTCAGCCACACGGGATGACTGCGCTGCCATCACAGCCTCTGCCACCTCCCCAGCCGTTGCTGCTGCCGCAGCTGCGGCAGCTGCCTCTTCCCACCTCACCGGCACCAAGAGCAACCGCCTTCCTGCTAACCTACTAGACCAGTTTGAGAAACAACTGCCACTACACCGCGATGGCTTCCATACGTTACAGTACCAGCGCACCTCCACCACCACTGAGCAACGCAGCGAGAGTCCTGGCCGCATCAGACACCTTGTTCATTCTGTCCAGAAGCTCTTCACCAAGTCCCACTCCCTAGAGGGATCATCCAAGATGAACGGCACAAAAGGTGATATGATGGGAGGTGGAGGAGGAGCAGGTTATCACCATCATGGCCACCACTCCACCAAACATGGTAGCAAGAGAAGCAAGAGCAAAGAGCGCAAGCACCGCTCTGGCGGCTGGTGGAGCTCCGATGACAACCTGGACAGTGACAGCACCTACCGCACACCCAGTGTCATGTCACGGCACCACGGGGAACATGTCAGCCACTGCTACCCAGATTCCATGCACAGCCACCACTTTGGAGACCTGTCACTTAAGACCTCTAAGAGTAACAATGATGTCAAGTGCTCGGCCTGTGAGAGCATGGCCATGGCGCCTGAGGGCAAATTCATGAAGAGGAGCTCCTGGTCGACACTGACAGTCAGCCAGGCCAAGGAGGCCTATAGGAAGTCATCGCTTAATCTAGAAAAACCCATGATGCACACAGACCTCAAGCCTTCATCGCGGACATGTCACTACCTGCAGGTGAGTGATACTTTACTTAATTTATGTTTTAAATTAACAAAAATGGAACATAATAGAGAAAAGACAGGATATTAATATATTAAAAGCTGGAGACAGGGTGTTTCTGTCATACTGTATGTGGACGGTTGCCACAGTGCTACTGAAATGAATTATGTGTATCTGTGTCTATGCTACTGCTGGTATATGTCACCATAAAACAGCACTAGTAATATATTACTTATTAAATTAGAATTTTTGGTAATACAATAAACAGTTTGGTTAATATTCCTTTTTCACTGCATTTGAAAGGGAGCACCTGTTAGTGTCTGTCAACCTGTCAATCATATTTACTATTAATAGAGATGTAAAATTAGTGTTTTAATTTATGACAGTTTAAGAAATGAGAGACTTTTTTGAACTTCTATTTTAGTTATTCCAGTTACTATGTATTTAATTGTCCATGCAACCTTAAGATACAGTAATGGTGTTGCTCTTTGTTCAAAAGTTAAAATATGTAGCCTTCTTATTATTGTTGAATATCTCTTTCGAACAAAACAAGTATTTCAAGGCTGAATTTAAGTGGTAGATTGAAAGGGCAGTATATGCATAGAAACCCTTAACATCACCTTTCGGGAAAATATAACAAACAATAATTGAGATCAATATCCACTCATCTCCATAGAGTCCCTCCTGAGTAAAATGCAATGATTGATGTATTGATTTAGAAATCCTGCCAGGGAGGCCTTTCGGATTCCATCTTTCTTTCTGTTACCGTCCTGAGGGCAATTACAGTGTCCAGTGTGAGAAGCCAATATATTTAACCAGGATTCCCTTTTGTGTAGTCACCTCAGGGAGCTATTGTCTATTAAGATGTAGAAATCAATTGAGTGAATCAATGTCATGGTGGAAGACACTGAGAATAATGGGCTACCTGAGCTAGACTGCAATGTAGAAAACACACAGGTTTGGTGACTTAACAAGAGCTGATGTAAGAGGCTGTGCATTCAAATATAAATGAATTATGTTACACGCAGCTTTTTATACCTCTGTCTTTGCTATGCCACTGACACATTAAGAGACTGTACCAGTTCAGCCACAGGTACTGGCTTCAAAAACACAATCAAAAGCGAAGTGTTTCTTTTCATTTAATATTCAGCACTTAGCAAATGCTCTCATCCAGAGTGACTCACATTGATTGCAGCATCAGAATACTGTAATCTTAATGAATTCCTGTTTCGAATTAAGATGATTAACATGAAGGAGATTTAAGATGTACAAATAATGGCAACATGGTGACAGGGATTTCAGTGCCTTCTGAGATGTGAATTAAACTAGAAAAAGGAGAATCATCAGGCCTCGATAACTGAGGGGCTGGCTGTATGTTTGTGCTTTGGAACTCAGTACCTATGAAGAACACTTTTCCCTTAATAGAAGTTGGCCTAGAACCCCCTCTCAGCCCATTATGAAATGGTCTACTGCTTGTAATGGGGATGAAAAGAGCTAAAGTGACTGGCCATCATTAAAGCTCACCCCAACTCCCCCCTGAGAATGACGTATGCCTTTATACTAACATTATCATCATTTTTTTAATATTGTGCAATACTAAGATTATGCTTGTACCTCACACAATCACCAAAAATGCAAATAATTGTTTGCCACACTTGAGTTAAAACTCAAACTGAGTTATATGCATGCACCGTAATGCGGTAATACGCAATAAGACTTTTACCACCCGGCTTATTCTATTTTTATTTTTTTTTTTCACCAATGACATTGGATTTAAATGGTGCTGCAATCATATAAAGACTTACATAGTCTTCTGAGGTAATAGATACATTCCTGTCCATGCTTGGAGAGGGAGAAGATGTTCAATCTTGGTCCAGTGCCTGCACTTTGACACTATGTGGAGGGCACAATTACACATAGATGCACAAACTGCAGTTGTTTGTGTGCCATGTGGACTGAAAGACTCTGTCAATACAGAGGCTCTTTCACTGGCATTTGACAAGCTTATGTGTCAGCAGGCAGAGACCCTGCAGCTGCCACATGGGCACATTCTGCACTGAGCGTGTCCACACTGAGAGCCTCATTCAGTGGAATAAGTGAGGGGTGATCTGTACACAGGCATCGTGGTCAACACTCTGTGTGCCCATTGGATTTTATCTGTTTGATGTGTCTGGGTCCTTTAGGTTAACTTGTGATGAGGACCACAGCTCTGCGTTGGGCTAGTTGTTGACATAATCTTGTTTCAATAGGTGTCAAGTCTTCATGCTAGCTTCCTAAAGACAACAGCCTCTGTTGTAAGGTGAAGCTTATGTGAAACAATTGGACTTTTAACATGGTGGAAAAAAAGAAAAGCCTAGACATTATTGTGAAAATCTGAAGGATCAACATCAACAGACAGACAGACACAGAAAAGGTACAGGAATTAGCCTGCAAGTGAAGAATAAAGCATTCTTTAATAATTTACAGACATAAAGCACAATTTTTATGCCCTAAAGTAGGCTCAGTGCATTAATATTGTGACAATGTTCCATAGAGATTTTACAAATTACTATCTGAACTATTGTGTTCAAACTGATGTACTTAATATGTAGACTGAATAAATGAATGCACTTTGCATGTTATCAATCACTTTCATTATAAAAAGCCTCCTTAATTAAACATTTTTCTTTCTACTTTTTTGCATTTGTTTTACTTTCTTTCAAATTTTATTCAACGTTTCTAAGATTGACTTTTACTAATTATGCAAGTTTTCTATCGCTAACTTGGCCAGGTCTCCTGAGTAAGATAAATACTTCATTTTAGCAGGATTAAGCTGGGTAAACAAAGCGTAAATAAATAATGGTTTGGCCTGGTCCCAAGATCTTGAGGCATGTTTTGAAGGTGAGAAACCATATGGAGTGTGCAGTAAAGGCAACCTGTACAAGGTTTCTGTTGTTGATGCTTATATCAGTCCTATGTTCCTATATTCCTGCCCTTTCTTGTCTGAAATGAAGCCAGTGCAGTGCTTCCCCTTTAGTATAAAAATAAAATCTTTCAGGCAATGGCAGGGAAGATGAAAAGATTATCTGGGGGGGGCGAACTTCTCGATTTGAGTTTCTACTGTTACATTCCTAAAGGTTGAGCTGGTGTCCTCCCTATGATATACACTGGCAACAAATTATGTCTTTTGAGTGTGGTACTGTGTGCCCAAACAAAACCAACAGGGCATTTACCTTTAATTACTTGCTCCAGGTAAAATAATGGAGACATATTTAGGTAATAATCCACACTCCTCTCAAATGGGGTTTAACTTCCTGCTCTTGCTTACTGCAGTTAGTTCAGTAGGTGACTAAGCTGTCAAAACCTTACTTCATAATTCAGAAGACTGCATTCAGTGTCACAAATAACTACTTCACAACCAACAACAAACCAGTATTACTCTGGGAGGGAGGAAATTACAGAAAACAAACTTCAAACTACCAATATTACATTTTATAACATAATTTTATATCTTCTTTGTTGGCAGCCAAACAACAAATGAAGACCCGAAAGCCAAAATAAATGTATTTTTGTTTTTTAGAATTGTGTTTTTAAATGTAATTGTATTTATATATATATATATATATATATATGACGGGGTATGTATAAATTGATATTAAACTACTAGACAATATAAAAAAAGTAATAATAATCTCCCCTGGCCAGGAGTCTAAGATCCCTGTGATACAGACACATCTGCTACATGGTCTTATGAAATCACCCTCTGCAGTGAGAAGATGCTTTATCCCAAGGTTATTTTTATACAAAGTAGCCTCAGTGTTTAGTAGTAACTAATGATGGTGTAAAGCAGCTTGCCTGTCTAGCTGCCTCAGGGACACAGCTGAACATGTTGTTTCAGGTGTCAAAGCTTCAAATGAGCAGAGAAATAAGGTAATGCTAATGAGCCAGTGCGATGCTTCCATGAGTGATGGCTGTCTTGTTAACCACAGCCTCAGACGATCAATGGCCATGCATTTGGAGGAAAATGATTCTTTTACTTTATTGCTGTCTTTAAGCCTGATTAATTTAGTTTCCAGACAATTGCTGCATTTTATTCCACTCATGTGGGAGAGGATAAATGTATGCATAGCAGATTAGTGTGCGTGATAATTTTACTGATAGGTCTTTGAAGGAAGACAGAAGAAGGCCAGCTGATTTTCATGTTACCATCCCAAGTTAGGCAGGGTTGGACAACACTCCCTTCTCTTTTTATAAACATATGACACACAAAGATGGTGCCTAATCTCATAACATTAGCAAACTAAAAGAGCATCATTAATTTTCCTTCCTCCTTATTGAAATGGGGTGTTCAGTGCTGTGGCAGAGAGCCATGCTGCCCAAAAGAAGGTCATTTGTTTTGGATTCAAAGGAGAGTTCCAGTAGCATATGGTCTAAATGCTTCAGAACCCTTTACATCTCGACTACAAAAACATTTGGGAAAAACGTCTGAGTAAAATATACTAGATTAATGATGGTGGAAAGCAACGGTCCTATTATTAGCATCTCTAAATCTTTCTATGATTTCCCATTTGCCACCTCCCATAGAGGAGAAAAATGTTCATCATTTTAATTCAAGTTCCTTATGCTGTCTAGTCCTTCACCTGTCTGCACTGCTGAAGAGGGCCATCAGGTCAAAGAGGATATTGGGTGTTAAAGGAAAGATTAAGAAAGGGGGCAGATGGCAGACAAGAACAGATAGTGAGGACATAAGTGATGGAGAAAGCATTACTCTACCTCTTGGTGTGAAAACAGGGGTATCGGCCACTCTGCTTTCTGTGAGAACAGTTCAGTGACTGTGGCAGAGAAACAACTATATGATTGGGTAAAGTGAGTAGCAGGCAGATCATTAGGGACAGCTCTGCGCCTGAGGCTGTTGTTTCAAGAGCTAAGGCTGCCCCGTCCACTGGGACAACTGCTACAGCTGCACCACACACTGACACAGTGTTGTACTTACTACATGCCTGATCAATATTGTACTAGAGCATGTCGTTTGTGTC